GCCTCCTGAGTAGCTGGGACCTCAGGCGTGCGTCACCATGCCCGGCTAATTTTGTTTATTTTTTCTGTAGAGATGGGGGTCTCACTATGTTGCCCAGGCTGGCCTTGAGCTCCTGGCCTCAAGTTATCCTCCCATCTTGGCCTTCTAAAGTGCTAGGATTATAGACATGAGCCTGTGCCTGGCCCTGGCTATCTCTTTTTTGTTGAGTTAAAAGAGTTGGCTGGGCATGGTGGCTCATGCCTGTAATCCCAGCACTTGGAAGGCAGAGGCAGGCAGATCATGAGGTCAGGAGTTTGAGACCATCCTGGCCAACATGGTGAAACCCCATCTCTACTAAAAATACAAAAATTAGCTGGGCATGGTGATACATGTCTGTAATCCCAGCTACTCCAAGTAGGCTGAGCCACAAGAATAGCTTGAACCCAGCTACTCAGGAGGTGGAGGTTACAGTGAGCCAGGATAGTGCCACTGCACTTCAGCCTGGGCAACAATCTGACTTAAAAAAAGTTGGACGCGGTGACTCACGCCTATAATCCTGGCGCTTCAGGATGCCGAGGCGGGCAGATCACTTGGCTGAGGAGTTCGAGACCGGCCTGACCAACATGATGAAACCCTGTCTCTACTAAAAATAGAAAAATTAGCCTGGTGTGATGGCATACACCTGTAGTCTCAGCTACTCTCAGGAGGCTGAGGCAGGAATCCCTAGAATCCTGGAGGTGGAGGTTGCAGCAAGCCAAGATTTTTGAGACTCCATCTCAAAAAATAAAATAGGCTGGGCACGGTGGCTCATGCCTGTAATCCCAGCACTTTGAGAGGCCGAGGTAGGCGGATCACGAGGTCAGGAGTTCGAGACCAGCCTGGCCAGTATGGTGAAACTCCATCTCTACTAAAAACACAAAAATTAGCCAGGCGTGGTGGTGGGCGCCTGTAATCCCAGCTACTCGGGAGGCTGAGACCAGAGAATCACTTGAACCTGGGAGAAGGAGGTTGCGGTGAGCCAAGATTGCGCCACTGCACTCCAGCCTGGGCAACAGAGTGAGACTCCATCTCATAATAGTAATAATAATAATAAATTAAATAATTGTTCGTTTCTTTCCTCCTCCTTCCCCTCCCCTCTTTCTTTCTTTCTTTCTTTCTTTCTTTCTTTCTTTCTTTCTTTCTTTCTTTCTTTCTTTCTTTCTTTCTTTTCTTTTAGATAGGGTCTTATTCTTGTTGCCCAGGCTAGAATGCAGTGGTGCCATCTTGGCTCACGGCAGTGTCAAATTTCTGGGCTCAGGTGATTTTCCCACCTCAGCCTCCCAAGTAGCTGGGACTATAGGTGCATGCTACTATACCTGGCTGTATTGTATTTCAGTAGAGATGGGGTTTCGCCATGTTGCCCAGGATGGTCTCAAACTCCTGGGTTCTAGTGATCTGCCCACTTCAGCCTCCCAAAGTAATAGGATTACAAGTGAAAGCCACTGTGCCTGACCCTAAAAGAGTTCTTCATATATTCTGGACACTAAATACTAAACAATAAGACGATTTGCAAACAGTTCTCCTAAGAGTTTTCTAGTTTTAACTGTTATATGGTCATTGTTCCATTTCAGTTATGTTTTGTTTGTATGTGGTGTGAGTTAGGGGTTTAACTTTGTTTTTTTTCATGTGGTTATCCAGTTTTCTCAGAGTGTTTGTTGAAGACACACTTCTTTCCCCAGTGAATGTATTTGGCATCCTTTTCAAAAGTCAATTAAGCATAAGTATAAGGGTTTATTTCTGGACTCTGATTCTGTTCCATTAATCTGTGTTTCCATTCTTTTGCCAGAACCACTACACTATTTTTGTTTTTGTTTTTGTTTTTGTTTTTGTTTTGTTTTTGAGACGGAGTTTCGCTCTTGCTACCCAGGCTGGAGTGCAATGGCGCGATCTCGGCTCACTGCAACCTCCGCCTCGTGGGTGTAGGCAATTCTCCTGCCTCAGCCTCCTGAGTAGCTGGGATTACAGGCACGTGCCACCATGCCCAGCTACTTTTTTGTATTTTTAGTAGAGACGGGGTTTCACCATGTTGACCAGGATGGTCTCGATCTCTTGACCTCATGATCTGCCCGCCTCGGCCTCCCAAAGTGCTGGGATTACAGGCTTGAGCCACCGCACCCGGCCCACTATTTTTATTACTGTACCTTTGTAGTAAAATTTGAAATTGAGACATCCTCCAACTTTATTCTTTTTCAAGATTGTTCTGGCTATTCAGAGTGATTGGGAACACTTTTGCCATATTTGCGCTCATACTACTCTCTCTACATTGATTTTGTTGTGGTGATGGGCCATTCAAAAGCAGGCTACTGACTTCATGGGAATTTGCCATAAATACTTCTGTTTCTGTTTTCTAAGAGCACAGGCATTTCTCTACAGAACCACAATGCCATTGTCATATCGAAGTAACTTAAAATTATGGCATAATAGTCCATACTCACATTTCTCCAGTTGTCTTTTTTTTTTTTTTGGAGACTGAGTCTTACTCTGTCACCCAGGCTGTAGTGCAGTGGCGAGATCTCGGCTCACTGCAACTTCTGCCTCCCAGGTTTAAGTGATTCTCCTGCCTCAGACTCCTGAGTAGCTGGGATTACAGGTGTGTGCCACCACACCCAGCTAATTTTTGTATTTTTAGTAGAGACAGGGTTTCACCATGTTGGTTAGGCTGGTCTCAAACTCCTGTCCTCGTGATCTGCCCACCTCGGCTTCCCAAAGTGCAGGGATTACATGCGTGAGCCACCATGACTGGAGTTCAGTGGCACAATCTCGGCTCACTGCAACCTCCGCCTCCTGGGTTCAGGCAATTCTCCTGCCTCAGCCTCCTGATTAGCTGGGATTACAGGCACGTGCCACCATGCCCAGCTAATTTTTTGCATTTTTAGTAGAGACAGGGTTTCACCATGTTTACCAGGATGGTCTTGATCTCTTGACCTCGTGATCCACCCGCCTCAGCCTCTCAAAGTGCTGTGATTACAGGCTTGAGCCACTGCGCCCTGCCTTTTTTTATTTTTTTTAAGGTAGTATCTCACTTCTGTTGTCCAGACTAGAGTGCAGTGGCACCATCATAGCTCACTGCAGCTTCAACCTCCTGGGCTCAAGCAATCCACCTCAGCCTCCCAAGTAGCTGGGACCACAGGTGTGAGCACTCCATCCAGCTCCCCAGTTGTCGTTTTATTTTTTTTTTGAGACAGGGTCTTGCTCTGTCACCCAGGCTGGATGGAATGAAGTAGTGCAGTCATGGCTCACTGCAGCCTGGACCTCCCAGGCTCTAGTGATCCTCCCACCTTGGCCTCATGAGTCCCTAAGACAATAGGCACATGGTCACCACGCCTGCCTAATTTTTAAATTTTTTTATAGAGACAGGGTCTTGCTATGCTGCCCAGGCTGATCTGCAACTCCTGGGTTCAAGTTATCCTCCTGCCTTGGCCTTTCAAAGTGCTGGTTTTAGAGGTGTTAGCCTGGCCTCCCAAGTTGTCCTTTATAACTTTTTTGGGTTTTTTTGAGATGGAGTTTCACTCTTGTCGCCCAGACTGGAGTACAATGGCATGATCTCAGCCCGCCACAACCTCCGCCTCCTGGGTTCAAGCAATTCTTCTCCCTCAGCCTCCCGAGTAGCTGGGATTACAGGCGTGCACCACCACACCCAGCTAATTTTGTATTTTTAGTAGAGATGGGGTTTCTCCATGTTGGTCAGGCTGGTCTGGAACTCCTAACCTCAGGTGATCCACCTGCCTCGGCCTACCAAATTTCTGGGATTACAGGCATGAGCCACCACGTCCAGCGACCTTTATAACTTTTTTAAACATTTTTTCTTTGGCTTTAGCCCAGGGTCCCACTTTGAATTGCATTGTGTGCTCACCTCTTTTTTTCTTTTTTGAGACAGAGTCTCATTCTGTCGCTCAGGCTGGAGTGCAGTGGCACAATCTCAGCTCCTGTGGCCTCTGCCTCCCAGATTGAAGCAATTCTCTTGCCTCAGCCTCCCCAGTAGTTGGGACTACAGACACATGTCACCACGCCCAGCTAATTTTTGTATTTTTAGTAGAGAGAGGGTTTCACCATGTTCGTCAGGCTAGTCTCAAATGCCTGACCTTGTGATCCACCCACCTCACCCTTCCAAAGTGCTGGGATTACAGGCGTTAGCACTCCTGCACTCTGAAATAGCTCCCGCCATTTTGTTCTTTCCTGACAATGGTCAGTTGAGGAGACCAGGCTGGTTGTCTGATAGCCTGCCCCGTGACCTGTCCTTTTGTTGTCCCTTGAAGACGGGACTAGGGCAAACATTTTTGCCCAAGAATGTACCCATTTCATTGCAGTATGGCGTACAGGGGCACAGTGCCCGATTGGGCTGGCCTGTTGCTAATGTTGCTAAATTTCACGTTTGACTTGGGTGGAGTGGCTGCAGGTTTGTGGAATGAATGACTAGTAACAGCTGTCATGATAGGTACAGCGAGACAGTGTCATAACTCACTAGTCCACTGCCCCGCCATCAGCCCCATCTGATGGTGAGAACCCAAGTTCCAGAGAGGCTGAGGGAACTGCCTGTGTCCAAGTGAACAGATGGTGTGGGTAGGGTGTGACCCTGGCGGTCTGGTTTCACCGGCCACATTCGGTCACTGCACTGCACACATCCAAGAACAGAAGGGTTCAGCCGAGTGGAGCAGAGGCAGCTCTGGCTCTGAGGCCCTGTGGGGCTGACACCATGCCTGGTGGCCCCCGTCTGACCATCTCAGCCTTCACTGTGTCCCCGTCTCACCCCTGGTTGTCCTGAGGACACAGGCTGTGCCCCTGCTGCCTGATGAGCCGCTCCCTTGTCTTCAGTGTGGGCTGGGCAGGCAGGGCACCCAGCAGTGCTGCCGAGGTGGTTTTGTGGTACTCTGGAAGAATCTGGGGACACCAAGGGGAGGCAGCAGGAGGGCGACAGGGACATTGCTCAAAAGAAGGCAGCTGATAGGGCTGCACCGCTCATGCCAGCCTGTGTTCTCTTGTAGATGAAGATGTGTGTGTCTTTAAGTGCTCAGTGTCCCGAGAGACGGAGTGCAGCCGCGTGGGCAAACAGTCCTTCATCATCACCCTGGGCTGCAACAGCGTCCTCATACAGTTCGCCACACCCAATGGTACGTGGCCCTTCCATTCCGGTGACATGAGCCCAGAGCGCCCAGAGCCCTGGTGGGCAGGGGTGTGGAGTCTGGCTAAGGGGCGGCCCGCGTATCCCTGAGACTGGCCCCTGCCCTGAAAACTGCATTCCCACATGCAGATAGGTACAGAATACACTCCATTGCCTGGGAAAACACTGGATCCCAGACCCTCCCTTACCAGCTCCTTTTGGGTCTTAGGGGCTTGACTCCTATGTCCCCACCTCCAAGAAGCCCATCCTGACTGCCTGGGCCCAGTCTTCCCACAGTGGCCAGCCCCGGGCCAGATGTGGATGGAGTTTAGGGGATAGAGTCAGACAAAGTCCTAGAGGCAGGAAGAGTTTGCTCAGGGCACAGAGAAGCCACCAGAGGGGCCTAACCAGACCCACCTTGGGGGCACAGGTGGATACAAGATTCCTGACTAGGGGTAGGGGAACCCCAGGCGGGTGCAGCCGGGGTTTGGAGGTGCGGGAAGCAGTGGAGGTGTGGGAAGCAGTGGCGGTGTCAAGGAACGCCCAGTGCTAAAAACTATCTGAAGGTCCCGCCACAGGCTTGGTGACCAGAGAGCTGAAGTGAGCCCAGTGGTTGACACAGGGGCTGGTGCAGGACAGCTGGAGGTGGGGAGGCTGCCTGCCCATCACTACAGCCGACTTCCTTCCCTCTTGTCAGGGGGCTGTGCAGTGACCCAGATGTACGTTGGGCAGCCTGACTCTTGGGGCCGCCTGTGTGAAGCTGCCACGCCTGGCTAATTTTTTGTATTTTAGTAGATATGGGGTTTCACCGTGTTGCCCAGGCTGGTCTCGAACTCCTGGGCTCAGGCAGTCCGCCTGTCTTGGCCTCCCATCGTGCCTGGACTTTTTTTCTTTTTTAAGAGACAGAGTGTTACTCTGTTGCTCATACTGGAGTGCAGTGGCAAGATCTTGGCTCACGGCAACCTCTACCTCCTGGGTTCAAGGGATTCTCAGCCTCAGCCTCCCAGGTAGCTGGGACTACATGTGTGTGCCACCATGCCTGGCTAATTTTTGTATTTTTAGTAGAGAGGGGGTTTTTCCATGTTGGTCAGGCTGGTCTTGAACCCCCAACCTCAGGTGATCCACCCACCTCGGCCTCCCAAAGTGCTGGGATTACAGGGGTGTGCTACTGTGCCTGGTTGTGTCTTTTAATTTTTAAAGAGATTGTCTTTTTTTTTTTTTTTGAGATGGAGTCTCGCTTTGTTGCCCAGGATAGGGTTCAGTGGTGTGATCTCGGCTCACTGCAACCTCTGCCTCCTGGGTTCAAGCAATTCTTCTGCCTCAGCCTTCTGAGTAGCTGGGATTACAGGCATGCACCACCACGCCTGGCTAATTTTTTTTTTTTGTATTTTTAGTAGAGACAGGGTTTCACCATATTGGCCGTGCTGGTCTTGAACTCCTGACCTTATGATCCGCCTGGCTCAGCCTCCCAAAGTGCTGGGATTACAGGCGTGAGCCACCGCGCCCGGCGAGATTGTCTTTTAAATATTGTTTTGGTTTTTACTTGATATAATTTACGTTATTCTACGTTAATAAATGTAGCATTTATTTATTTATATTTGTTTATTATTATTATTATTTTGAGATGGAGTTCCACTCCATTGCCCAGGCTGGATTGCAATGGCACAGTCTCGGCTCACTGCAACCTCTGCCTCCCAGGTTCAAGTGATTCTCCCGCCTCAGCCTCCTGAGTAGCTGGGATTACAGGCACCCACCACCACCCCCGCCTAATTTTTGTATTTTTAGTAGAGACAGAGCTTAACCATTTTGGCCAGGCTGTCTCGAACTCCTGACCTCAAGTGATCAGCCCACCTCAGCCTCTCAAAGTGCTGGGATTACACCATACCTAGTTTATTTATTTCTTGTAGAGACAGGGTCTCGCTATGTTGCCCAGGTTGGTCTCAAACTCCTGAGCTCAAGCAGTCCACCTGTCTCAGTCTCCCAATGTGCTGGGATTACAGTTGAGAGCCACTGTGCCCAACCAAATAGAGCCTGTTTTAAAGGGCCATATACCACGGCATTTTGGAGCAGGGTGGCGATTGGTGATTCTCTGCTGTGCTTTTCTTAATTTTTAATTTTTATTTATTTATTTTAACAAGCCAGGGTCGTCTTATGTTGCCCAGGCTGGTCTTGAACTCCTGACAACTGATCTGCCCACTTAAGCCTCCCAAAGTGCTGGGGTTACAGGTGTGGGCCACTGCACTTGGCCTCTGCTATGCTCTTCTCTGCCCCTAGGGTTTGTCCACTCCCCTCTTAATGGACATTGCAGTGTCTGCCACCCCCACATAGATGCTGCCCTGAGCTTCTCGGGGAAGTTGGGCTTATTTGCCAGAGCTTTGACTCCTGGGCCAGTGGGCATGTGCTTGAGAGAGCTGTACCAGGCTGCCCTTTAGTGAGGAATGTCCAGGCCCACTCCCACCAGACACCAGCCCCGCATGCAGGACACCTGTCATCCTCACATCAGTCACAGGGTACAGGCACAGCTTCCCTTCATCTTTTCTTTGAACTTTAAAAATTGTTTTTCTGGGAAGAGAAATAACCAGCCCCATATGTTGAAGGGAGAAACATCAGGGCATACAGCCATCCAGAACCTTCCCTCCCAGATGGCCACATACCAGGTTGCTGACCGCCCCCTGGTGACCTGGCTTCCCCGTTCCAGATTTCTGTTCCTTCTACAACATCCTGAAAACCTGCCGGGGCCACACCCTGGAGCGGTCTGTGTTCAGCGAGCGGACGGAAGAGTCTTCTGCTGTACAGTACTTCCAGGTGGGTTGCCTTCCCCCGGCAGCTACCCTGCCACCTGCCCGCAGGAGGCCACGCAGCACAGGGAAGGCCCACCCAGGTTCCTGTCCTGGCTCTGTCCCTTACTGGCCATGTAGCCTTGGGCAGGTTTTCTCCGCTGGCTGGGCCTCAGTTTCCTCATCTGTGAAGTGGAGATGCAGGTGCCTGCCTGAGAGGGTTGCTGGAAGGATCTGAGCAGAGGTGGAGCTCAGGGCCACAGGCGTTGTGAATAATGGTAGAGCAGTTGCAATGCCCTGAGCGCTCCCTGCATGCCAGGCCCTGGTCTGAGCGCTGTCACATGCACAGAAGCACTTGGACCCTCCCAACAACGCTAGGAGGTAAGTGCTATTATTGTCCCCATTTTACAGATGAGAAAACTGAGGCTCAGAGAGGTTAAGTGACTTGCTCCAAGTCACACAGCTATTATGCAACAGAGCCGAGATGGGAAGCCAGGTCTGCCTGATGCCAAAGCCTGTGCCCCTGCCCAGGTGCCACGCTGCCTCCCGATCGCCCGTTGCCTTACAGAGAGATACCACACCTCACCTGCCTGGCGCTCTGAGTTCTAGGGCTCTGTTCGATCTGCTTCTCTTCTTCTTTGGGGCCCTCAAGATGGGGCAGGTGGCCCCGGATGCCAGGACCCTGCCTGTGGCAAATCTTGAGTTCTCCTGGGCGGCTTCCAGGTCCAGGTGGCATCCAGCTGTTGCCATTGGCTGCAGTGATAGTGGTGGTGTCCTCGGGGGCTGCCTTCCAGCTTTCTGCTCCCTCTCCTGGAGGTGCCAGTGGGGCCCAAGCAGAGGGTGCACAGCCTCCTGAGGGAGTTTTGTGCCCAAGATGGCTCCTTGCTCTGTCACAGAGCTGGCCAGGGCCTTGGCTGCCTCATGCCACAACGTGCCCCGTGCCATTGGTGTGTCTCTGTTCCAGTTTTATGGCTACCTGTCCCAGCAGCAGAATATGATGCAGGACTACGTGCGGACGGGCACCTACCAGCGTGCCATCCTGCAGAACCACACCGACTTCAAGGACAAGGTGAGCCCGCCCACGCATGTACCCACCTCTCTGCTTCTGCCTCTGTTTGTATGTTTTTCTTTGCCCATTGATTTAGTCTTTAATTTTCTCAGATTAGAAATGCATTTATCCCAGCTACTCAGAAGGCTGAGGCAGGAAGATTGCTTCAGCCCAGGAGTTTGAGACTGCAGTAAGCTCTGATTGCATAACTGTACTCCAGCCTGGGCAACAGAGCAAGACTCTGTCTCTTTAAAAAAAAAAAAAAAAAACACACACACACAGAAAAAGCAAGAAAAATGCATTTAATTTATTAACTTAACACAGCATGTACATTTGTACATTAGAGGCTTGCCAGGCCTCTCTCTCAGTTCCCTCCAAGACAGCTGCTGCCCTTTCAGTATGAGGTCTCTTCTTCCAGGTTTTTCCCCATGCAGACATCAGCCTGTATTTTATAATTATTTTATTAAGCTGGGCCCAGTCGCTCACAACTGTCTGTAATCCCAGCACTTTGGGAGGCCGAGGAGGAAGATCATTTGAGCCCGGCAGGTTGAAGGTACAGTGAGCTGTGATTGTGCCACTGCTCTCCAGCCTGAGCCACAAAGCAAGACCCTGCCTCAAAAAATCACGAAATAATAAATAAGCTTTTTAATATTACCAAAAATGTATACTCATGATTAAAGAGAGAGAGAGCAGAGCAAAGTGTCTGTATTCAAAAGTAGAAATCAGCTGGGCATGGTGCCTCATGCCTGTAATCCCAGCACTTTTGGAAGCTGTAATTCAAGCAGGTGGATCACTTGAGGTCTGCAGTTCGAGACCACCCTGGCCAACATGGCGAAAGCCCATCTCTACTAAAATAAAATATAAAAACTAGCCAAGTGTGGTAGTGGGTGCCTGTAATCCCAGCTACTTAGGAGGCTGAGGCAGGAGAATCCATCGAACCTGGGAGGTGGAGGTTGCAGTGATCCGAGATCGAGCCACTCCACTCTAACCTGGGCAACAGAGCAAGACTCCATCTCAATATAATAAATAAATAAATAAAGGTAGAAATGTATTCCTTTCTCATCCTGTCACCCAGAGTTTTTAGTGTCTCCCCCAACTTTTTTTTTTTTTTTTTTTTTCTGAGATGGAGTCTCGTTCTGTTGCCTAGGCTGGAGTGCAGTGATGCCATCTCGGCTCATTGCAACTTCCGCCTCCCAAGTTCAAGTGATTCTTTTGCCTCAGCCTCTTGAGTAGCTGGGACTACAGGTTCGTGCCACCACGCACAGCTAATTTTTGTATTTTTGATAGAGTTTCACCATTGTTGGCCAGGATGCTCTCTATCTCTTGACCTCGTGATCCACCTACCTCGGCCTCCCAAAGTGCTGGGATTACAGGCATGAGCCACCATGCCCTGCCAGCCAGAGTTTTTGTTTTCTTTTTTTGTTTTTAGGGGACAGATTCCCGCTCTGTCACCCCGGCTGGAGTGCAGTGACACAATCTCAGCTCACTGTAGCCTCCACCTCCTGGATTCAAGCAATTCTTGTGCCTCAGCCACCAGAGTAGCTGGGATTACATTTGTGCCCCACCACGCCCAGCTAATTTTTGTATTTTTAGTAGAGATGGGGTTTTGCCATGTTGCCCAGGCTGGTCTCGAACTTCTGGCCTCAAGCAATTTGTCCACCTCAGCTTCCCAAAGTTTGGGATTACAGGTGTGAGCCACCGCACCCAGCCTGTTTTCTCTTTTGAATCAAATAGGAGCTTGTTTTTTTCCTCCGAGTATTTTGGGGCTCTCTCCTCGTGGATCTGCTTGGAGCTGTCTCATCCAGTGCCTGGGTCTTGCCTCCCTAGCATTGATGACTGTCCAAGAGAATGCTGGGCCCTGGGCCCTGGAGAGGAGTTGTCCTGACACAGGAGTGTCTGCTCTGGCCGGGACATTCTGAGCCTCCTCCTGGCCAGGCCACTGGGGTCTGGGAAGGGTGTCCTCCGTTGGCAGAGTCCCTTCTCACTCCCCGAGGATGGAGATCCATTTCCTAGTTCATCTGGAGCTCTGAGCAGTACCCCGAGGCCTTCCCACCTGACGCCAGCTTCCCCTGTAGGCACTCACCACACCCAGAGCATTTGTCCTTTGAAAGCTCATGCCTGTCACCACCAGGAATGTCTGCCCTTGGTCTACTCATGTGGAAGCAATCCTACAAATCCAGAATGTGTGGTGTTCTTCCAGACCCTGGCCTGGACTCTGCCATGAGTGACCATCACGGGGGCCAGTATCCCTGCGGGGAGCCTAGCCGGCCCAGCTCACTGGCCCCAGCCAAGACAGGGGCTGCTTCTCCAGGCGCGAGTCAGCATGGAGCTGGGGGATGCTGCCACCAACACCCAGGCCCCTTTCCTCCATGCAAGAACTATGGAGGCCCCGGAAAGATGATTCTCAGCTGCCAGTGAGCTTCCAGGGGAGGCCCGTGCCTCTCGCCCCAGACGATCCAGAGGCCTGCAGGCCACAGGGTTGGGGGCAAAGTGGAAGCTTCCCCAAGGCTTCTCCTCCCAGAGGCCTGGCCCATGGCTCATTTTTAGTTGTCCCTTCATTTTGACCCAGAGCCCATGAAGTGCAGACGTTGAGAGTGAAGACAGACCCAGGTGTTGACACCTCATGACATGTACATCTCTTATGATCACTGTCACCTCCCAGTCATCCTCACCTCCCGTGTCTCTCTCTTACCTTCCACTCCTTCCTCAGATCGTTCTTGACGTTGGCTGTGGCTCGGGGATCCTGTCATTTTTCGCCGCCCAAGCTGGAGCCCGGAAAATCTACGCGGTGGAGGCCAGCACCATGGCCCAGCATGCCGAGGTCGGTGTCCCGCCGGTGCCCGCCTAGCCGCCTCCTCACCCGAGTGCCATGCCAGCCCCAGCCTAGAGAAGCCTGGGACCAAGAGGGCTGGGAAACGTTCCTTCTGTGTGTCACTCTCTTTGTTGTCCCCAAAACAGTCATTGTGGGGAGGGCTTCGGGGCCTGAGATGATTCCCCTCATGACCAGCAGTCAGGGGCACATGTCATCTCCTGTCTTTCTCTTTTTTGCACTGAAACCTTCACTAACAAGGTTCAAAATGTAAAAGCTAAAAAAGAGCAAATAGCATGCTCTCCTTGCCCCTAGCTCTCACCCCTTAGCCGCATCCTGAGAGAGGGGCCACGAACTCTGAGCAGAGCTCCTCTGTGGCCATAGATGCAAGCATCCTCTCGCACCAGCAGAGGCTGCACCTTCTCCCTGCTCTGCCTCTCCCCTGGATCTGGGGTCACTGGGGTTATGGAGGGGCCAACCTTGGCTCTGTCTTACAGCCGCAGAGCACCCCCATGCCCAGTTGGGCCACTGTTGCTTTAGCTGCATTGCACCCATAGTGACACTCAGACTCGTTCCAGGTCTTCACATGGCCAACACTGCTGTCCTGAGCCCCTCTCCCATGTGTGGTTGTATCTGTAGGACACATCCTAGCCCTGGAATCACAGGGTTGGGGGTGCTTCCAGTTTTAGCTTTGCTGGCAGTTGTGATGTCAGCTCATCCTCCTCTCTGTGGCCACCTGCAGTTGTCGACACAGGGTGGGGGACCTAGGAGGCCGCAGTAGAGGAGGGCCCTGAGACAGGGCTAGGGTCACAGTAAACTCTATTTTTTTTTTTTGGAGTCTCACTCTGTTGCAAAGGCTTGAGTGGAGTGGTGCAATCCTGGCTGATGACAACCTGCACCTCCCTGGTTCGAGCAATTCTCCTGCCTTAGCTTCCTGAGTAGCTGGGACCACAGGCGTCCACCACTGAAACCTGCCAAGTTTTGTATCTTTAGGCTGGGTGCGGTGGCTCGCACTTTGGAGGCTGAGGTCAGCGGATCACTTGAGGTTGAGACCAGCCTGGATGGTGAAACTCTATCTCTACTAAAAATGCAAGGAATTAGCCGGGTATGGTGGAAGGCACCTGTAGTCCCAGCTACTTGGGAGGCTAAGGTGGGAGAATCACTAGAACCTGGCAGGCAGAGGTTACAGTGAGCCAAGATGGTGTCACAACCTCCAGCCTGGGGAACAGAGTGATAATCTGTCTCAAAAAAAAGTTATTTTTGCCGGGCGCGGTGGCTCAAGCCTGTAATCCCAGCACTTTGGGAGGCCGAGGCGGGTGGATCACAAGGTCGAGAGATCGAGATCATCCTGGTCAACATGGTGAAACCCCGTCTCTACTAAAAATACAAAAAACTAGCTGGGCGTGGTGGCGTGTGCCTGTAATCCCAGCTACTTAGGAGGCTGAGGCAGGAGAATTGCCTGAACCCAGGAGGCGGAGGTTGCGGTGAGCCGAGATCGCGCCATTGCACTCCAGCCTGGGTAACAAGAGCGAAACTCCATCTCAAAAAAAAAAAAAAAAAAAAAGTTATTTTTGTATTTTTAGTAGAGCGGGGGTTTCACCATGTTGGCCAGGCTGGTCTCCAACTCCTGAGCTCAGGCAGTCCTCCTCCCTCGGCCTCCCAAAGTGCTGGGATTACAGGTGTGAGCCACCGCACCTGGCCCACAGTGAGCTCCTAACAGGCTGGGCCAATGGCAGCCATGGTTGGGGCCCCAGCGAAGGAGGCAGAGGGGGACTCCATGTCCATGTGCGGAAGGAGGCTGTCCCTTGAGAGGAGGACTGGGGAGGGCCCCGCGGCAGGAAGGCACAGGGAAGCCCATGTGGCCCCGCCTGCCTGCAGGTCTTGGTGAAGAGTAACAACCTGACGGACCGCATCGTGGTCATCCCGGGCAAGGTGGAGGAGGTGTCGCTCCCCGAGCAGGTGGACATCATCATCTCGGAGCCTATGGGCTACATGCTCTTCAACGAGCGCATGCTGGAGAGCTACCTCCACGCCAAGAAGTATCTGAAGCCCAGCGGTGAGCATCGGGGGACATAGGCGGGGCCCCTCGGTGGAGCCACTGAGCCAGGCCTTCAGTGCTTCAGCTCCCTGCTTGCTGTCAGTGGCCTAGGGTGCTGGGAAGCCTAGGCCTTTCCCCTACTCCCACCCCAACCCCACTCCTGCCAGCTGTGCCTTCTGGAGCCCCGGGCCCCAAACATGGCCAGACACCCAGCTGCCCACCCACCCAGACAGGGTCTGGAGGAGCTCCTGGCACCTCTGCCCTCCCATCTTCTGCTCCTGCGGGACAGCCTCTGGCTGGGAGTGGGGATTGGGACAGGTTCTGTGGTCAGCAGTTCCCTAACAAGCCCTGCTCTCAGAGTCTGGGAGGTGAAGGGGGCAAGTATGTGTACAAATGAAGGGGTGTGGATGCACGTGTACGTGTGTGAGGGATGAGGTAGCTGTGCGTCGAGCCCATCCATCACCTTCCATCTGTGCCTCTGGTCACTGGGTGTCTGTTTCTTTTTTTGAGATGGAGTTTCGCTCTTGTCACCCAGGCTGGAGTGCAGGGGCGGGATCTTGGCTCACTGTAACCTCCGCCTCCCGGGTTCAAGCGATTCTGGTACCTCAGCCTCCCAAGTATCTGGGATTACAGGCATGTGCCACCACACCCAGCTAAGTTTTGTATTTTTAGTAGAGATGGGGTTTCACCATGTTGGTCAGGCTGGTCATGAACTCTTGACCTCGTGATCTGCTCACCTTGGCCTCCCAAACTGTTGGCATTATAGGCATGAGTCACTGTGCCTTGCCTGTGTGACTCTTTTTATCTGCCCATCTGTCTCAGAGGTCTGTGCAGCCCTGACACCTGAGGCGTGTGTCTGTGGCTCTTACGCTGCGTACATGCGTGTCTGAGCATTTCTGTACAGGCAAGCAGCTGTGCGTGGAGAACAGGGGTCCCCAGCCAGGGTAGCAGCTGTGGAATGGAGCATGGGCAGCAGCAGGCTGGTGGGGCCTGTGCAGGCAGGGGCTGGAGGAAGTTCCCACTCATGTCCTCTGGCCCTCCCTGGATCCAGGCCCTGGAGTCCTGCCTGGCTCTGCTCCTGGAGGTGGGAGGTGGCTTCCCCCAGCTGTGTCCCATGTCTCCAGTGTGAGTGTGGGAGGCAAGGCTGCTCCAGGGGCTGTGGGCTCCACCCTTCTCCCCTTCAGCCCTGATGGTGGGGTTGGGGGTAGGGACAGCCCCAGCAGAGGGGGCCCCTCCTGATGGGATACAGGGGTGTGGCCAAATCGGCAGCTGCACGAGCCTCCCCTGGCCCAGCAGCCTGCTTTCAAGGAAGCAGGAGGCTGAGCGGGCTCCTGTCCAGCTCAGGAAGCACTTCCAGGGGGTTAAAAGGCAGCCCCCCCTCCTCAAGTCACATGCCTCCTGACCAGCAGGAGCCAGCGGTGCCTTCTGGGCTGGGTCACTTTCCATGGTGCCCCCAGGTCCCCCAAGGCACAGGCCGAAGCATGTACATCTCCCTCCTCAATCCAGCATCTTCTGCCTCAGGTTCAGCCTGGTGGCATAAGGAGGAGGAAGCGTCCCACTGGTACCTCAGGGCCTCCCCCACCAGCTTGCAAGGCCTGGGGGGCTCACATCTGGAGGCCAGGTGCTCCTCGGGAGAGGCAGGGCTGTGGGGCCCTGGCCCTCCCTGCCGCTGGCCCTGACTCATGCATCTACCCTTGAGTCACAGAGGGAGGCCCTGCCCTTCCCTCTCAGGCTGTGTGCCCAGACCAGGGAGGCCAAGAGGCTCACCCTGCCAGCCAGGTGCCTGTGCCAGAACCTCAGCAGTCCCTGTGGTGTCTATGCAGCTTCCCCCACCCAGCTCTCGGTCTCATCTGAGGCCCCCAGTGGCATTGGCGTGGCGTGGGGCCCACCCTCCCTCTGTCCAGAGCAACTTTGCTTTGCTTTCCTGGCTGTACATGTGCACGGACGGCAAGGCCTGAGAGGCAGCACCTGGCCGCATCCCAGGCTCCTGGGCACTGCTCACTTCTCTGTGAGGCCTTGACAGATCCCTTCATACCTCCCAAGTCTAGTAATGGGACATAAAGATGAGCCACTGGCCTCCCAGTCTCAGCTGGAGTCAGTACCTGCAGTGGCGATGAAACACTCATCAGAATAGGCACAGGGTGCCGCTGTGCAGAAGTGTAGGATCAAACGAATAAGAGGCCGGGAACACCCAAAGTTGGGGGTCTTGGGGTCCTTTGGAAGCTCGACCAGGCAGTGTGGGATGTGTCACCTGATGCCAGCACCCCTCCCTGCCCGCACTCCCAGGAAACATGTTCCCTACCATTGGTGACGTCCACCTTGCACCCTTCACGGATGAACAGCTCTACATGGAGCAGTTCACCAAGGCCAACTTCTGGTGAGTGTGCCCTGGGTATCCTGCCTGGGCCCCACAGCCTGCCTTCTCAGGGACAACCCCCAGCTCCCCACGGGGCCCCCACTCCTCTTTTTCTGAAAGACTTGGGCTAGATGAGGGCTGACTGGGGGAGAAGACAGGGCTATCCCACCTGCCTCTTCTGCAGCACTGACCTTGCTGTGGGGGTGGGGCTTGTCTACAGGTACCAGCCATCCTTCCACGGAGTGGACCTATCAGCCCTCCGAGGCGCTGCAGTGGATGAGTATTTCCGGCAGCCTGTGGTGGTGAGTAGGGCCTCCAGGGCCCCACTGCAGTTATCACATGGCATTGCTCTGCAGCTGTGCACCCCTAGGGAAGCGACTGCCCCTCTCTGAGCCCTCTCCTCTGCCCTGAACAGAGCTCTCTCACAGAGATTTGGGGGCAAAAAGTCAATGTATATAGATACTTAGCATACAGACATGCAATACATGCAGACCATTAGATGAGGCCAAGGCAGGAGGGTCACATAGGCCCAGGAGTTCAAGACCAGCCTGGGCAACACAGAGACCTCATTGCTGTTTAAAAATTAAAATAGCCGGGCGCGGTGGCTCAAGCCTGTAATCCCAGCACTTTGGGAGGCCGAGGCGGGTGGATCACGAGGTCAAGAGATCGAGACCATCCTGGTCAACATGGTGAAACCCCGTCTCTACTAAAAATACAAAAAATTAGCTGGGCATGGTGGCGCACGCCTGTAATCCCAGCTACTCAGGAGGCTGAGGCAGGAGAATTGCCTCAACCCAGGAGGTGGAGGTTGCGGTGAGCCGAGATCGCGCCTTTGCACTCCAGCCTGGGTAACAAGAGCGAAACTCTGTCTCAAAAAAAAAAAAAAGAGCAAAACTCTGTCTCAAAAAAAAAAAAAAATTAATTAATTAATAAATAATAAAAATAAATAACCGTTACTAGATGAATTTATCTTTGGTGAGCTGATGTGATTTATTGATTTATTTTACTTGAGATTTTTGATACAAGATCCATGGTTTAGAATTCAAAAGGAAAAAAAATCCTGTGATACTCAAGTTGACGAAAAAGAAAAAATCAAAAGCGTATAGAAGAGAAAAGCTTCCCTACCTCTGTCCCAGCTGCACAGTTCAGTTTTCTATAAGCAAACAGTGTTTCTTATCTTTCCAGAGGTATTACTGCTAAACATACACACACAAAATACATGTATTATTTAACCTTTTTCCTCACAAAATATAGCATAATCAACATACTGCTCTGTCCTGATTTCTCTTTGCTCAAAGAACATACACTGTATGATTTCATTCCTTTGAAACTTGTCCAGAGTTGTTGTAAGTCCAGGATATGGTCCCTTTTGGTTAATGTTGTCTGCCTTTGGAAAATCCGGTAATCATCTGCTGAGTACAGTGTTACATCAACACCAGTTAGGCCACCTCTTCTTCACATTGGTCATATCTTTTTTTATCATTACTGATTTTTTTTTCTATTTCTCCTATCATTGAATATAGATGTACTGATTTTTCCATTTTGATAGTTTTTGCTTTTATCATTACTGATTTTTTTTCTATTTATCCTATCATTGAATATAGATGTACTGATTTTTCCATTTTGATAGTTTTTGCTTTATGTACTTTGTATTATATTATCAGGTGTACTATAGGTTTAGGGTGTTGGATTGATACTTTTGTCATTATGAAATGTCTCGTATCTCTAGTAAAGTATCTCTAGTACTGTACTAGAGATAAAAGAAAAAGTCTTCAGGGGCTCACGCCTGTAATCCCATCACTTTGGGAGGCCAAGGTGTGTGGATCACGAGGTCAAGAGATCGAGACCATCCTGGTCAACATGGTGAAACCCCATCTCTACTAAAAATACAAAGAATTAGCTGGGCATGGTGGCGCATGCCTGTAATCCCAGCTACTCAGGAGGCTGAGGCAGGAGAATTGCCTGAACCCAGGAGGTGGAGGTTGCAGTGAGCCAAGACTGCACCATTGCACTCCAGCCTGGGTAACAAGAGCAAAACTCTGTCTCAAAAAAAAAAAAAAAAAAAAAGTCTTTTTATCTCTAGATCTATCTAGTAAAGATTTACCTCTTGCCTTCTTGCCTTAAAATCTATTTTTTTTTCTGATAGTGATTGAGCTGCAATGGCTGTGTGTGTGTGTGTGTGTGTGTGTGTGTGTGTGTGTGTGTTTTGAAGAGACAAGGTTTCTCCATGTTGGTCAGGATGGTCTCAAACTCCCGACCTCAGGTGATCTGCCTGCCTTGGCCTCCCAAAGTGCTGGGATTACAGGTGAACCATACAGCCAGCATTTTTTTTTTTTTTTTTTAGACAGAGTCTTCCTTTGTTCGCTGTTGCCGAGGCTAGAGTGCAGTTTCACCATCTCTAGTATGTTGACCAGGCTGGTCTTAAACTCCCGACCTCAGGTGATCTGTCCGCCTTGGCCTCCCAAAGTGCTGGGATTATAGGTGTGAGCCACTGTGCCCAGGCAGTTCTTTATGAAATTTTTCTTTTCTTTTAAACTATTATTTTGTACATACTAGTTTTTTTTTTTGGTTTTTTTTTTTGAGACGGAGTCTCGCTCTTTTGCCCAGATTGGAGTGCAATGGCGCAATCTCAGCTTACTGCAACCTCTGCCTCCCCTGTTCAAGTGATTCTTCTGCCTCAGCCTCCTATATAGCTGGGACTACAGGCACCTGCTACCATGCCTGGCAAATTTTTGTATTTTTAGTAGAGTTGTGGTTTCACAATTTTGGCCAGGCTGGTCTCAAACTCCTGACCTTGTGATCCACCTGCCTCGGCCTCCCAAAGTGTTGGGATTACAGGCATAAGCCACCGCGCCCGGCCTACTGCCTTCAGTAATCTTAATGCAAGTCCAGTGGTTAGCCTCATCACCAATATGCTTCTGAACCTCCCCTTAGCTTTTTTTGGTATCTTTTTTGAACCAGGGTCTCACTCTATTGCCCAGGCTGGAGTGTAATGGCTCAATCACGCCATGGCTTACTGCAGCCTTGACCTCCCAGATGCAAGTGATCCTCCTGCCTCAGCCTCCCAAGTAGCTGGAACTACAGGAGTGCACCACCATGCCCAGCTAATTTTATTTTTTGTAGACATGGGCTCTCACTATGTTACCCAGGCTAGTCTTGAACTCCTGACCTCAGATGATCCGCCCCCTCATCGGCCTTCCAAAAGGCTGGGATTACGGGCATAAGCCACCACGCCTGGCCTTGAGTCTCTTGCTAGCAGCCTTCCGCTGCCTTATCCTCTGAGGCCCCGCCCCCCTCAAAGCGCAGGAGTTGGCCAATTTCACAGGTGCACTGAGTGTGTACCGCCCACCTCTCCCTCCTGCACATACTTCCCTTTGCTTTGACATTGCAGCCCCTTGAGTCTGAGCTGCCTTGATAACCATGAGCTCCCATTTTGCTTTCCCACCCAGGGAAGCTGCTAAAACATCGAGGTGGCCATTTTTGCCCTCCCCATGGGAAAAAGGCAGAGGCCAGAAAGGGCATTTCCTTCCTTTCCAGAAGCCTGATCCCCAAAGTCCTGGCTGCTCTGCTCTGGTTGGTCCTTGGTGCTTCCAACAACTGGTTTATTCTTTTTTTTTTTTTTTTTTTTTTTGAGATGGAGTTTCGCTCTTGTTACCCACGCTGGAGTGCAATGGCGCGATCTCGGCTCACCGCAACCTCCGCCTCCTAGATTCAAGCAATTCTCCTGCCTCAGCCTCCCGAGTAGCTGGGACTACAGGCGTGCACCACCATGCCCAGCTAATTTTTGTATTTTTAGTAGAGACAGGGTTTCTCCATGTTGACCAGGATGGTATCGATCTCTTGACCTCGTGATCCACCCGTCTCGGCCTCCCAGAGTGCTGGGATTATAGGTGTGAGCCACTGCGCCTGGCCATATTCTTTTCTTTGTATTTTATTTGGTTCACATAGTTCACAGCAGGTGCATTAGTCAGATATAAACATCGCTTGGAGTGGACATCATCACCAGTGTTGTTTTTTTTTAAGAGACGGGGTCTCCCTATGTTTCCCAGGTTTGAGTCACACTCTTGGGCTTAAGCGATCATCCTGCCTCAGCCTCCTGAGTAGCTGGAGTTAGATACACACCACTACACCTGGTAGCAATTAGTTATTTAACTTGCTTTGTTAACTTGCTTAATGATTTAGCTTGGAGATCTTTCCCCACCTGTTCATAAAGAGCCTCTTCATTCTTTCTCACATCTGCATGGTCTTTGATGGGTGGGCCATCATTGGTTTAATTAGATGGTTTCCAGTGTGTCACTGCCACAGACAGTCTGTAATTACCCATGTAAGTTTGTTGATGTGTTCATGAATCTGAAAGCTAAATTCCTGTGGTGCCAAATCTTGTATGTGAATGAACACTTGTGATTTTGAGAGCTGCCACCTAATTGTCGTCGGTGGTGGTGTGCCAGTTTACCCTCCTCGCAGTGTGTCTGAGAAGGACAAGCTAGTTTTAGCTGCATAGCCTAGAGGCGGTGGCCAGACCTGGGGTAAGGGGCAGGGCTCTTCTTCCACGCTGACCCTGGTGCAAGATGGTCACACCTGTGGTCTCTTCCAGGACACTTTTGACATCCGGATCCTGATGGCCAAGTCCGTCAAGTACACAGTGAACTTCTTAGAAGCCAAAGAAGGAGATTTGCACAGGTACCGGCGCCCACACTCCATCCTCCCAGGTCTGGCTCAGGCCGAAGGTCAGCGCCACCCCTGGTTCCTGCCAGCATCCTGCCGTCCCAGGGCAGGTGGTGGGCGGGGCCCCCAGGCCTCTGCACCTGGCACCCCCTCTTCTCTCTCGGCAGCGCCTGCCTGGCTTCCCCAGCAGCCACTGCCCTTTGCCTTCCAGGATAGAAATCCCATTCAAATTCCACATGCTGCATTCAGGGCTGGTCCACGGCCTGGCTTTCTGGTTTGACGTTGCTTTCATCGGCTCCATGTGAGTGCTGCAGAGCAGAGCAGCCCGTGCTGCCCCCCGCCCCGCCCCACCCAGGGCTTCCTGCACCTATGACCTGGTGGGGGCTAGGAGGGTGAAACGTGGCTCCAGGTTCCACCATCCCTTCCAGTGGGAGTGAGAGCCTATCTCAGAGCAAGAGACTGGGTGCGGGGTGTGTGTGTGTGTGTGTGTGTGTGTGTGTGTGTGTGTGTCCCCCACGTTCCCAGTGTCTGTCCCTCATAGGCCTGTGTCCGTCTCTTGGCACATGTCATGGTAAGTAGGCATCTCGTGGCTGGGGGGTCTCTCGTATGCACATGTGTGCGTGCTCATGTATGTGTCTGGGACTGTCGGGTGGCTAGCCTGTCTCTGCTCCAGGGTCCCAGCGGTCCCTGACAGAGGGGGCAGGTGCCCAGGGAGGGCTCAAGGCATACAGGGTGGTGGCCCCAGTGGTGGTGCTGGCCCACTCAAGTCCGTGCCTGTTCCTGCTCCACAGAATGACTGTGTGGCTGTCCACAGCCCCGACAGAGCCCCTGACCCACTGGTACCAGGTGCGGTGCCTGTTCCAGTCACCACTGTTCGCCAAGGCAGGGGACACGCTCTCAGGGACATGTCTGCTTATTGCCAACAAAAGGTGCGACTGCTGCCTGGGGCCAAGGGGTAGGGGTCCATCTGCCCGCCGCTCATGCCGCTGCCCGCACCCTCTCTGCAGACAGAGCTACGACATCAGTATTGTGGCACAGGTTGACCAGACTGGCTCCAAATCCAGTAACCTCCTGGATCTGAAAAACCCTTTCTTTAGGTAAGAGGAGCCCCAGCCTGCAACGGGGGTGCCCCAGGCCTGCAGCCCCCTTGCCCCTGCCCATAGCTCAGTCTCTGCCACAGATACACGGGCACGACGCCCTCGCCCCCACCCGGCTCCCACTACACATCTCCCTCTGAAAACATGTGGAACACGGGCAGCACCTACAACCTCAGCAGCGGGATGGCCGTGGCAGGTGAGGAGGGTCCGCCCCGACGCCTAGCTAACCCGGGAGGCCGCCCACAGGCCTGGCCTCTCTGCCCCCAGCCCTGACGTCTCCCTCTCTGGGCACAGGGATGCCGACCGCCTACGACCTGAGCAGTGTTATCGCCGGCGGCTCCAGCGTGGGCCACAACAACCTGATTCCTTTAGGTGAGTGTTCCCCAGGGGCAGGGGCAGCAGGGAGTCGTGCCCAGGACTGCCAGGGGGCCGGGAGGGGCCTCTGGCGACCAGGTCGGCCTGTGCTTGGTCCTTTCGCCTTTTCCTCTTCCTGGGGGCTCTCGGCCGAGGCCCTCCATCCTCTCTGCCTCGCTCTGCAGCCCACCACTGCGCATAGGCTGGGTGGCTGGGGACGGTGACGCCGTCTCCCTTCCTTCTTTCCTCCCTCTTGCTGCGCAGCCAACACGGGGATTGTCAATCACACGCACTCCCGGATGGGCTCCATAATGAGCACAGGGATTGTCCAAGGTAATGCGGGTGGCAGGGGCAGGGCCCGTGGGGGCCGAGCTAGCGTGTGAGGCGCCATCTTCTGTCTGGCCGCCCACCTGCCCTTTCGCCTACCCTTTCTCTCTCTCTGACTCTGCCTGGGGGCTGGGCAGGCCAGGGCAGCCCCTCAGTGCCACTGCCCTCCCCACAGGGTCCTCCGGCGCCCAGGGCAGCGGTGGTAGTGGCTCGAGTGCCCACTATGCAGTCAACAGCCAGTTCACCATGGGCGGCCCTGCCATCTCCATGGCGTCGCCCATGTCCATCCCGACCAACACCATGCACTACGGGAGCTAGGGGCCTGCCCCGAGGACTGACAGCACCAGGAAACCAAATGATGTTCCCACCCGCCCCCCGCCGGGCGGCTTTCCCCCTTGTACTGGAGAAGCCCGAACACCCAGTCACAGCCCTCTTTGCTATGGGAACTGGGACACTTTTTTACACGACGTTGCCGCCATCCCCACCCTTACCCCGACCTCCACCTCCCAGCCCTGAGCGCGTGTCGCTGCCATATTTTACACAAGATCATGTTGTGGGAGCCCTCGTCCCCCTTCCTGCCCGCTCCACCCCGACCTGGGCTTGTCATCTGCTGGAACTGGCTGCGGGGAGCGAGCAGCTGCCACCCAGCCCAGGCTGCCCCACCTTGCCTGCCAGGTCCCTCGGCATCTGTACCCTTGTCTGACTCCAGTGGGAAGGTGGCCTGGCCAACCAGGGCCTCCCTTCGACGACCAGGCCTCGGTCACAACGGACGTGACATGCTGCTTTTTTTAATTTTATTTTTTTATGAAAAGAACCAGTGTCAATCCACAGACCCTCTGAGAAGCCAGGCCGGCCGGGCCGAGCCAGCAGCCCCTCTCCCCAGACTCAGAGGCATCGCGGGGAGGGGTGGCCCCGCTGAGGCTTCAGGGGCCCCATCCCCACCAAAGGGTTCACCTCACACTTGAATGTACAACCCACCCCGCTGTTGGGAAGGCCTCCGTCCTCGGCCCCTGCCTCTTGCTGCTGTCCTGTCCCTGAGCCCCTGCAAGTCTCCCCCACGCCCCCCACCCAGAGTTAGAGCAGGTGGCTGCAGGCCCTGGGCCTGGAGGGAAAGCCACCGCCAGCCACTTGGGGCAGACATAGACACCTCAAGGATGTGTCATGGAAGGTGTCCTCTTTCCTTGTAGCTACCATTAGGCCTGAGTATCTCCCCTCCGTCTTAGTAGACGCTCCAGTCCCTACTACTGCATTTCCGTCCCTCCCCTGCCTGGGAAGGGGCCTTGCAGGGACCTCTCCCTCCAAAAAAGAAAAAATAAACGAGGAAATGTGTTGCAGCACAGGCAGTTTCTTCTTCTGCTCCCCTGTTTCTCACAGCCCCAAGTTCAGATGCTGGAGCTCAGGCCCGCCGTGTGTGCGCCCAGGCAGAGTGGGCACTGTCCAGGCTAGGGTGCCCCCTTGGCTCTCCCTCCTGTGCCAGGAGAGCCATAGGGGGGAAAGCAGGCAGCCCCAGGGGATATTGGGGCCCCGGCCCTGTCCCAAAGCTCCCTGATCGGCTGCCCTTCGCCCGCCTTTATATAAATTCTCTGAATCACCTTTGCATAGAAAATAAAAGTGTTTGCTTTGTAAGAAAAGTCTGGAAAGTAGCAGAGTCATCTCAAGGTGTCAGGGGAGCGTTCAGTCACTGTCTGGGGGCAGGACAGGCAGAGGGGTTGGTCCACTTAGGTACTGCCTAAAAGAGAGAACTGCCTGAGAATGGCCCCGGGACCCCTCGCCTTCACGGGGGGTGGAAGGGCAACCCCCACAGCCCAGCTGGGAACAGTCCCTTACCTGTGGGACCCGGGCCTTCCTAGGAGGGAGCCATGGACCGAGGCAGGGTAGGGGACAGTGGGATGTTTGTGGGCAGAGATGCGGCTTGATGTGGAGGAGCCACATGCTCCGGAGGCAGCGACTGGAAGAAGTACAACTGCACGAGATCCCTGGGGTTAGAGGCAGGGCCAGCCGACCCGCCCCAGCCCCTCAGCCTACCCGTGACACCCCAGCCCCGTACCTTACAGCCCATGGCCAAGAGGGCATGGAGCAGCACAACTGTAGACAGCAGCGCTGCAGCCACCAGCCTGGTGTCCTCACGGACCACGGGCCACAGGGTGAATACCAGCCCCGCAGCCGACAGGCCCAGAGCCAGTGCCCCAAAGAGCCACTGCAGCCAAGGCACAGGGATGAGCCAGAGGACCTGGGAGTAACACAAGCGGCAGGTGACCATGCCAGGGGGGCCCACACAGCCACCACCCACTGCACACTGGGCCACACTCACCACCATGGGGATGAAGACAAAGAGGGAGTAGCCGTAGACGCACACAGTCTCCAGGAAGGTGTAGGGCCCCACGCGCTCCCGGACACCCTTGCGCCACCGCAGGAAGCCCCACAGGGCCAGCGGCACCAGCCACGCATAGCAGTAGATGCTGATACCTGCCACGGTCACTGGGGGCAAGGCAAGCAGTCACCCCCTGTCTCCTGGGGCCCTGCCAGGCATTGGGCCTGCCCGCCTGCTTACCCTTGTGGAATTGGGAGCTGTAATGGATGGAGGGGTCCCTCCTCTGGGCCAGCACCAGTGTCAGGTTGCCGGTGACGGCTAGGACGAAGGCCAGCGTGGCGCAGATCCAGAAGGGCCCTGGGGGCACGGGGCACAGTCAGGGTTCCGGATCATGTGCTCCCAGGACAACCAGACAGATGTATCCTGACTCAAGTATGCCGAGACCCCAGCTTCTTCCTAAGCACCCTGTCTGACTCAGCAGGTCACCGGGGGCCTCCCAGTAGCTAAGCCCTGTGCCAGCTCTCAGCCTGTCCCCTCCCGGAAACACTCAGGACTGCACACCGTTGGCCTGTGTCTCACCTCATTGGTGTCAGTTCCTCAATCCCTGTCACCTCCTCTTTGACTCTCTGACCCCGTCAGCCATGGGAAGCAGCTGGGCCCAGTCCTCGACCCCTTCCATGTCTTTGTTCACTCCTGGTGTGACCTCCTCCAAGCCCAGGACCTTGTGCCTCCTCTAGAGCAGGCGTCCCCAAACTACGGCCCGTGGGCCGCATGCAGCCCCCTGAGGCCATTTATCCGGCCCGCTGCCACACTTCAGGAAGGGGCACCTCTTTCATTGGTGGTCAGTGAGAGGAGCACAGTATGTGGCAGCCCTCCAGCGGTCTGAGGGACAGTGAACTGGCCCCCTGTGTAAAAAGTTTGGGGACGCCTGCTCTAGAGCCTGAGGCTCTGCCCTGAGAACTGCAGTCTCCAGTTCAAGCTCCCAGGTGGGCATCTCCAGCTTCACCCACCGCCCTTGCCCTCTGCCCTCACTGCCCAGCTGGTCCCTGGATAAGTGGCAACTCCATCCATCCTGTAGTCCAGGCAGACATCCCTGAAGCCTGCCTCGGCTCCTACCCTCCCACTCCCCCCACCCCCACCTGTCTAGCGGCAAAGCCAGTTGCTTCTACTTCCACAGCATGTTCCAGAATCCAGCACCACTCTCTACATCCACAGTCCCCACCATGTAGCCGCCTGCACCCCAATCTCCTGGCTTCTGCCCTCACTCCCCATGATGGTGAGAGGGACCCGAGAACATGTAACTAAGATTCCTTCTCAGCCAGGTGCAGTGGCTCACGCCTGTAATCCCAGCACTTAGGGAAGCCAAGGCGGGCGGATCACCTGAGGTCAGGAGTTTGAGACCAGCCTGGCCAACATGGTGAAACTCTGGTGCGTGCCTGTAATCCCAGCTACTCAGGAGGCTGAGGCAGGAGAACGGCTTGAACCCGGGAGGTGAAGATTGCAGTGAGCCGAGATCACATCACTGCGCTCCAGCCTGGGTGACAGAACAAGATCCCTTCTCGCCACAGCATGGGAGGCCTGTGTGATCCATCCCTTTCCTGCAGCTCACTCGCTCCAGTGGCAATGCCGCCCTGCAGTTCATGCAAGTTCCTGCCATGGAGCTCATGCCCTTTCTGGAACCATCTTTTCCTAGGTCTCCCCCATCCCTCCCATTGCCAGCAAGGCTCATTTCCTCACCTTCCTCAGGGAGACCTGCCCTGCCACACCCTGCAAAACAGCAAGGCCGTTCCTCCTCTCCACTCTGCTGCTCTCTACCCACTACCCTCTGCAGTCCATGTCCCCGTCTCCCTGAACAGAAGGTAAGTCACACTCTCTGAGTGACTCATTTGTCCTCAGCTGCACACTGGGGTCTGCAACTCAGGCCATACTTGTGGAGTGATCGATGAAAGGAACCGAATGCATGACCTCACTCACCATACAGATCCGGCTGATTCCGCAGATAGTGCCGCACAAAGTTGTGGCCGGGCCGGGGCAGCAGTGAACCTTTGATCCGGTCTAGGACCTGGAGGCAAGGCTGAGGTCAAGGATGAAGGCCTGCCAGGAGATTCTCATCCTGAGAGGCTCCTTCCCTGCTGACCTCCACCCTCCTCTCTCCATGCCCCACCTGAAAGAGCTTAGCCCTTCCCTCTTTTACTTTTTGAGATGGAATCTCACACTCTTCCAGGCTGGAGCGCAGTGGCACAATCTTGGCTCACTACAACCTCTGCCTCCTGGGTTCAAGCAATTCTCCTGCCTCAGCCTCCCAAGTAGCTGGGACTACAGGCGTGTACCACCATGCCTGGCTAATTTTTGTATTTTTACCATGGGGTTTACCATGTTGACCATGCTGGTCACAAGCTCCTGACCTCAAGTGATCCGCCCACCTCAGCATCCCAAAGTGTTAGGATTACAGGCACCTGTTACTGCATCTGGCTAATTTTTGTCTTTTTAGTAGAGATGGGGTTTCCCCATGTAGGCCAGGCCTGTCTTAAACTCCTGAGCTCAGGTGTTCCACCCCTGTCAGCCTCCCAAAGTGCTAGTGGGATTACAGGCGTGAGTCACTCACCTGGCCCACCTTTGGTCTTCTGCATATGCTGTTCCCTGTGCCTGAAACATACTTCTCTCCCCTCCACTCTGCCTGCCTTCTCCTTTAGGTCTCAGCCAATTCCTCACCTTCTCCAGGAGGCCTTCCTCTAACCCACCAGATTGTGTTCCCACAGTCCTGATCCATAACCAGTGCCACCGTAACCCTTCCAGGGCACCCTGGTTCCTTCACCAGCACCCTGAGCCCCATCCCACCTGCCTCCCCGGGGCCCGACCTGTGAGGTATCCACGTCAAAGAAGCTCTGATAGTAGCTGAAGGTCCAGAATCCGGGCTGCTGCTGCTGCTGCTGCTTCTCCTGCAGGAGCTACACACAGCACGGACACTCAGCGCCTGCCCCAACAGCCTGGGTCAGCAGCAGGCTGCACGGAGGCAGGAGGCAGGACAGGGACTCACCGAAGCCTTGTCACTCTCTTCCTCCACCTCATCCTCGGCTCCATAGCTGTCACCTGAGCCCACAGCCACAGCCACATGCCCCTGTGAGGTTGGCTGATTGCTTCTGCTGGTGGTGGCTGCATCAGGAGTCTCAGCCAGAAGATTAGTGGCCTCCTCGAATTCTGTGGAGGGGGGATATGGGACACACGCACTTTGTGGGGGTGGAAAGAATTCGACTGGGCCCAAGCCAAGCCGATGCTCCTCTGTGGGCGAAGGCTCTGCTGGGCCACTCATCACCCCCAAGGCGGGGGCCCAACTTCCTCAGCTTGGAGGCATCCGGAGGACACCTGTTCCCTTCCTCCTAACGTGGAACTGCAAGTTAGGATTGGCCCTGGGATGAGGTCAGGGTCTGGGGACTAGAGGCTCGGGTTTGAGGTCTGAGTTCACGGCAGGAGCGGGGTTCGAGTCAGGGATGGGTCTCACTCCTGAGTCAGAGTTCACAGCCGCCTGGGATTCGGGTTAGAGAAGCTGGAAGCCGCATGGGTGGGGAGGTACTGGCGAGGGGCGCGGGAGTAGGACATCCCGCTATGTCGGGGCCGCACTCACCGTGAAAGGTCAGCTCGTCGGCCGCTGCCATGGTCGTTCAGGGGCGTCTCCGCATCCCTCGCTAAGGGCACAGGCCGATCAGGTCCGCTTCCCCCGTGCCCCCGAGCCGGTCCCTCGGCCCCCAGCCCTACCTGGCGGCCAACGGCACCCACGGAGGCTTGAACTCGTCGCCCAGTCTCCAAAGGTGCGCCCCGCCCCCCTCACCTGAAGCCACCTGGGTCGGCGTGGCTGGGACTCTCTGCGCCTGCGCGGCCTGCCTGCCAGTCAGAGAGACCCAACTCCGACACGACAGCAACATCCGGCGCCTGTCCTCTTCCTATACTCTCCCGTTGGGAAGCCACTTCCGGTAAAGTTGGCGCTTGCGCAGGAGAGACTGCTGGGTTCTTCGGGTATCGGGAGCTTCTTCCCGGAGCGCGGACCCCCAAGCCAGAAGGGGATGGCCGCGGCAGCTCTGAGGCGACTTTGGTCCCGGCGCCGCGCAGAGGTGGGCGTCGCTGTAGCTGCGAAGCCCGGAGTGTGGGCGCGGCTGGGTGAGTAGCGGCGGAAGGCCGTAGGGTGGGAGTCCGCCGCCGCCGGATCACTCTGATCGCGCTCCTCTTCCCTCAGGCTCCTGGGCTCGCGCGCTGCTCCGAGACTACGCCGAGGCCTGCAGGGACGCGGCGGCGGAGGCTCGTGCCCGGCCGGGGCGCGCGGCCGTGTATGTGGGGCTGCTGGGCGGCGCGGCGGCCTGCTGCACGTTGGCGCCGGGCGAGGGTGCCTTCGAGGAGGCGTTGCTGGAGGCGTCGGGGACCCTCCTGCTGCTGGCGCCCGCCACGCGCAACCGCGAGTCCGAAGCCTTCGTGCAGCGGCTGCTCTGGCTTCGGGGCCGTGGCCGGCTGCGCCACGTGAACCTGGGGCTCTGTTCGCTGGTGTACGAGGCGCCCTTCGACGCCCAGGCCAGCCTCTACCAGGCGCGCTGTCGCTATCTGCAGCCCCGCTGGACCGACTTCCCCGGCCGGATCCTGGACGTGGGCTTCGTGGGCCGCTGGTGGGTGCTGGGGGCCCGGATGCGCGACTGCGACATCAACGACGACGAATTTCTGCACCTGCCGGCGCATTTGCGGGTGGTCGGGACCCACCAGCTGCATTCCGAGACCAACGAGCGGCTTTTCCATGAGAAGTACCAGCCTGTCGTGCTCACCGACGATCAGGTGGACCAGGCGCTGTGGGAGGAGCAGGTCTTGCAGAAGGAGAAGAAGGATAGGCTCGCCCTGAGCCAGGCGCGCTCGCTGATAGAGTCGGAGGCCCCGAGATGAAATCCTGAGGCCCCCGAGTCTTGGCAAACTGCTTGCCTGGGTGGTGCAGTTGTGGTGAGCCTCAACTCCATAACGACCGAGACAGATGATGTGGAAAGTGTTTTCTCACTGGGTTTGCTCAGGTTCGGGGAGCCTTTCTGCCCCTCCATCGTCGTTCTTTATCAGCTGAAGCTAATTGAAAGCCACCTTGGTCCAGGAGTTGGGACAGCAGAATGATTTGACCCATGTTCATCACTGCCAGAGCTGGTCCTGAGCCTTTTATAAGTCTTTTTCATTGGGCCTCAGAGTCCCTCCTCAGGGAGGTACCGTACTGGTCAGGTGACTTGCAAACTCTCCTAAAACCATTTAGATTTTTGAGTTGTGGCCTGGTTTGGTGGTGCACGTCTGTAATCCCAGCAGTTTGCAAACTGATGCAAGAGGATCGCTTGAGGCCGGGAGTTTGAGAGCAGTCCGAGTAACGTAACAAGACTCCGACGCTACAAAAAAAAAAGAAAATTAACCTAATAAAATTTGAGTTGAAATGTTTTTATTATATTACTTACTTGCCTCTTGTATTTATTTATTTATACAGACAGGGTCTCTCTCCGTCTCCCAGGCTGGAGCACAGTGGCACAGTCTTGGCTCACTGCAACCTCCGTCTCCCCGGTTCAAGCGATTCTTCTGCCTCAGCCCCCTGAGTAGCTAGAATTTCAGATGTGTGCCAACATACCCAGCTAACTATTGTATTTTTAATAGACACAGGGTTTTACCATGTTGGCCAGGCTGGTCTTGAACTCCTGACCTGTGGTGAGGCAGGTGAATGCCTGCCTCGCCCTCCCAAAGTTCTGGGATTACAGGTGTGATCCATCACACCTGGCCTTTCATTTTGATAAGTAATATTATCAAAATGTTAGCTCTTTGGGAGGCTGAGGTAGGAGGATTGCTTGAGATCAGGAGTTCAGAACCAGTTTAGGTAATACAGTGAGACCTTTCTCAAAAACTAAAATACTTGGAAGGGTGAAGCAGCCGGATAAATTGAGCCTAGGAGTTCAACGGCAGGCTGGGCAACATGGTGAAACCCCGTCTCTACAAAAATACGTACATATACCAAAGGCATTAAAATGCCTCAGTCTCAGGCCGGGCTCGGTGGCTCAAGGCTGTAATCCCAGCACTTTGGGAGGCCGAGGTGGGTGGATCACGAGGTCAAGAGATCGAGACCATCCCGGTCAACATGGTGAAACCCCGCCTCTACTAAAAATACAAAAAATTTAGCTGGGCATGGTGGCACGTGCCTGTAATCCCAGCTACTCAGGAGGCTGAGGCAGGAGAATTGCCTGAACCCAGGAGACGGAGGTTGCGGTGAGCCGAGATCGTGCCATTACACTCCAGCCCGGGTAACAAGAGCGAAACTCCGTCTCAAAAAAAAGAACGAAACTCCGTCTCAAAAAAAAAAAAAAAATGCCTCAGTCTCTCAAAGTGCTGGAATTACAGGTAGTGAGCCATCGTGCCTAGTCTATTCTTATTTTGAGTAGAGATGAGGTATTGCTATGTTATCCAGGCCATGTCTTTTGCTTTCATTGCATTTCTTTTTTATATATGTGTTTCTATATCCAATTTTTATTTATGGCAAGTGATAGCAGTATTTGACAATTTCTGGCAAGAATTACTAGGATCAAAGGTAGTCCGCAAGTTTTAGGGTTAAGTCTCAGAGTTGAGAGTTACAGTTTGAATCTTGACTCTGCCGGTCTTGAACTCCTGACTTTAGCTGATCTACCTACCTCCCACCTATTCGGAAGGCTGAGGTGGGAGGATCACCTAAGCCTGGGAGGTCAGCGCTGCAGTGAGCCATGATTATGCCACTGCACTCCAGCCTGGGCAACAGAGTGAGACCCTGCCTCAAAAAGTAAAGTAACTTTTTTGTTTGAAATTTTTAATTTTTAAGTATAGTCTCAAAATTGGAAAAATAATAGAGGCATATTGTATATCCTTTGCCCAACTTGCCCCCAGTGGTAACATCTGACATAACTAATATAAACCAGAAAATTGACAGTGTCGTGACTGTTGGGATGTTACAGGGAAATTTTCTGCAAAAACAACCTGGTTTTACCAGATGAGTATTTTAAGTTACTGAAGGTGGCTTGGAAGGATAAAGCATTTTCTGGTCTGGAAACCTATACGGAATCATAGATTCTAGTTATGTTGTACTTCAGTAACCTTGAAACACAATTCTATGAAAAGAAATGTTAGTATACACAGCTGGTGCTTAGCTAGGTTATGGTAAATTGCATTTTTGTTGTTATTGTTGAGACAGAGTCTTACTCTGACACCCAGGGTGGAGTGCAGTGGCACTATCTCAACTCACTGCAATCTCTGCCTCCTAGGTTCAAACGATTCTTCTTCCTCAGTCTCCTGGGTAGCTGGGATTACAGGCATGTGCAGTGATCCCCGGCTAATTTTGTATTTTCAGTGGATACGGGGTTTCTCTATGTTGGCCAGGCTGGTCTCAAACTCCTGACCTCAAGAGATCCTTTCACCTCGGCCTCCCGATGTGCTGGGATTATAGGCATGAACCACTGCGCCTAGCCAATACTTTTTTTTTTTTTAAGTATGATTTACAGCTGGGTGCAGTGGTGTACACCTGTAACCCTAGTACTTTGGGAGGCTGAGGTGGGAGGATCACTTGAGTCCAGGAGTTCAAGACCAGCCTAGGCGACATGATGAAACCCTGTCTCTACAAAATATACAAAAACTAACCAGGTATGGTGGTGTACACCTGTATTACCAACTACGCAGGAGGCTGAGGTGGGAGAATGGCTTGAGGCTGGGAGACAAGCTGCAGTGAGCCGAGATTGCACCATTGCACTCTAGCCTGGGTGACAGAGAAAGCCAGCCCCTGTCTCAAAGTTAATGAAAAAATAAAACTAAAGTATTAAGGGAGTGAGGCTACCTCAGTGACTTGTGACAGGTTAATAAAAAAATCAGGTGATAAAACAACTATATTGTGATGTTTGTGTGGTCGCTACTTTCAAGTTTTGGCATTAGACCCTTGCATTCATATTGAGGGGGTTGAACACAGTTTAAGTCAGCATCTCAATTTTACAGAGGAAAAGTTGAGGTTCAGAAAATTTATTTTTCCAAGGCTGGGGCAGAACCAAGATTCAAATTCTGTAACTCCCAACTCTGTGACTTAATACTAAAACTTGTGGACTACCTTTGATCCTAATAATTCTTGCCAGAAATTGTCAAATACTGCTATCACTTGCCATAAATAAAAATTGGATATAGAAACACATATGGGCCGGGCGCAGTGGCTCAAGCCTGTAATCCCAGCACTTTGGGAGGCTGAGGTGGGTGGATCACGAGGTCAAGAGATCGAGACCATCCTGGTCAACATGGTGAAACCCCGTCTCTACTAAAAATAAAAAACATTAGCTGGGCATGGTGGCGCGTGCCTGTAATCCCAGCCACTCAGGAGGCTGAGGCAGGAGAATTGCCTGAACCCAGGAGGTGGATGTTGTAATGAGCCGAGATTGCGCCATTGCACTCCAGCCTGGGTAACAAGAGCGAAACTCCGTCTCAAAAAAAAAAAGAAACGCATATATAAAAAAGAAATGCGGGCCGGGCGCGGTGGCTCAAGCCTGTAATCCCAGCACTTTGGGAGGCCGAGGCGGGTGGATCACGAGGTCGAGAGATCGAGACCATCCTGGTCAACATGGTGAAACCCCGTCTCTACTAAAAGTGCAAAAAATTAGCTGGGCATGGTGGCACGTGCCTGTAATCCCAGCTACTCAGGAGGCTGAGGCAGGAGAATTGCCTGAGCCCAGGAGGTGGAGGTTGCGGTGAGCCGAGATCGCGCCATTGCACTCCAGCCTGGGTAACAAGGGTGAAACTCCGTCTCAAAAAAAAAAAAAAAAAAAAAAAGAAATGCAATGAAAGCAAAAGACATGGCCTGGATAACATAGCAATACCTCAATTCTACTCAAAATAAGAATAGACTAGGCAAAATGGCTCATACCTGTAATTCCAGCACTTTGAGAGACTGAGGCAGGTAGATCACCTAAAGTCAGGAGTTCAAGACCAGCCTGGCCAATGTGAGATTGTCTCTTAAAAATATAAAAATTTAGCTGAGCGTGGTGGGGGGTACCTGTAATCCCAGATACTCAGGAACCTGAGGCAGGAAAATCACTTGAACCTGGGAGATGGAGGTTGCAGTGAGCCAAGATCGTGCCATTGCACACCAGCCTGGACAACAAGAGCAAAACTCCGTCTCAAATAACAATAATAAAATAAAGACTGGGTGCAGTGGCTCACGTCTGTAATCCCAACACTTTGGGAGGCCAGGGTGGGTGGATCACCTGAGCTCGGGAGTTCAAGACCAGCCTGACCAACATGGA